TGTGTGTGTGTGTGTGTGTGTGTGTGTGTGTGTGTGTGTGTGTGTAACAGCCGGTAACGGCTCTTTGCATTGAACGGGCTTTTTTCTGCCCGGGCGCGCACGAGCAGAAAAAAAAATGCCGTCTGGAGACGGCAACCCGCAAATGCGAGTCCGCCGTCCGTCCATTTTTTGAATGGCAACAGGTTAAAACAGCCTGGAACGCGTCAAAACACACTGCACTGCATGTGCAGAAACCTATGCAGATCTGGTCCAGATTTGATGTGAACAAGCCCTGAGTAAATTAAAATGAATTACAACAAGAGAGTAAAATTTAAGGTCAAAAAGGGTTTTAGTCTCTTCTAAATGAAATCACTTACAATGGATGCCGCTCCCGGATGTTTTAAAGTTTTAGTTTCCTGCAGAATCAGCTGGACCGCTGAGCACTGTCCCTGATATCCTGTGTTAGGCCCCCCCGTTCACACCATGGCAGGTGCGGATCAGCATGGTTTCCTTGCGATTTTTAAAAAAGTGGTTTTAGGCGTCTTGAATTGCGTTTCAGAGCTGAAACGCAATTAAAAATTCCCAAAACCGTTCCATTGAAAGCTGTATGGAAACCGTGCTGATCAGCGCGGGGAAAAAAATCTCAGGGAGCAATTCGGGCGGGAGGCGGTTCAGGTTGCATTAAGGTCCCCATAGCAATGAATGGGATTGTTCATTGCGGATGAACCGCCCCGGTGTGAACGGGCCCTAAGGGTGGTTCCTATCCCTTGCAGGGTCCTTGTGTGTGTTAGCAAGCTGTTTTTCCAGTTAAAGTGTTTATAAAGTCAAAAGGGAGCAGACAAAAATCTGGAGCAGCTGTGCATGGCAACCATCAGCTTCTATCAGTTTTATCAGATAAAGGTACCCATACACCTGCCGATTATCGTACGATACTCGCGGGTGATCCCGTGATCGTACGATGATCGTACGATAATCGGCAGGTGTATGGAAGGCGTGCCACCGTTTCTACTGTACGGTCGCACGTCTTTTGTCTTCCGAGCACACTTGAAAACCTGCCGAAAATCGTAAGATTTTCGGCGGGTTAGTGGCATGCTCGGAAGACAAATGCCGAACAGGCCGGTGTGTGCAAGCGCACACTGCCCGCTCAGCATTGGAATAATCTGAAGCTCTCCCCTCAGCGGGGCGGGCTTGCAATGATCGCAAGTACGATCTGCCTGTCCAAGATGGGCAGATTGTACGAGATTTTAATTACCCAACAATCAACGAAAGTCGTGCGATGGTTGTAAGGTGTATGGGCACCTTAAGATTTGAAAATGAAAGAGGGAAGCTAATTGGTTGTCATGCACAGCTGCGTTGTTGCATGCTTTTACGCGTGTACACGTGCATATACTGTATTAATTACGCGCGTTTGTAGGAGCAGATTGTAGTGCACATGCGTGTAAATACACGCAAAACCTATTGTAAAGTGCGTTTTCAAGCATATTATGGGGCCAAAACGAGCTGAGATCTGTGAAAAAGAATCACATGTACTTTTTCCAGCTACAGGAATTTTGCTTATTGCGAAAAAATGCTTAGGTGTGCACAGGGGCCATATGAATGAATGGGATTTTTTGGGTGAAGCTTTTGATCTTGTAATGGGCAGGAAGTTCAGGGAAGCTGAGCTGAGAGAGTTGGAGCTGTTCCGAATCATATGGGGAATTTATCAAAACTGAAGCAGAATATGGAGCAGTTGCTTATGTCAACCAATCAGCATCTCTCTTTAGTTTGCCCAGGTAAGATTTGAAAATATGAGAGAGAGAGAGAGAGAGAGAGAGAATCTGATTTACACTGCAGTCAATCTGCTCCAGATTTTGTCCGCTCAAGTTTTGATAAATTCCCCCCAAATTACTTGATAAACCTTTTGCCCAAGCACTTCAAAGTAATACACTGCTGGGCGGTATATATTTGTTTGATCTGGATTCCTAATTGAAAAAAAGTTTGAGAGTTTAAAATTACTTAAAACCCGCTGTCAGTTTTTTGGGGGCTATCTGTATCTCGTTAGGCGTTTGCCTAATTGTAGCTGCCGTGTACAGGTGCAAAAACTTGAATCAAAGTACAACACGATTATATTCAGTGATTTCAATCGCTCCACGGTTTAAAACAAAATCCTATTTAGACAGACGGGAGAAGTGCTTCCCAACCAATCAGGAAGACCGCTCCTCTTCTGGAGGTTATTCATCCCCTATGTACATTGCTGCCAGGAGAAGACGGGAAGATCACCAAACCAGATAAAGCTGTAAAACCAACACTAATACCAAATTAGCCGGAGGTCTGATTATCTGACAGAATAATTCATGTTTATGGAAAACTATAATCATAATGTGATCTAAACCTCCTTACAAGTATCAGATCAGGAAAGGATTATGCTGAGAGACTTGGTGAAAGTGGAAAAAGTACTCAGTCAGCTGTGATATCATTCAGGAAATCTCCCTTCCTGCAAAAAGGGGGAAATCTGAACAGAGAACACGAAAACTCTGGAAGCAGAAAACTGGCCCACAGTCACTGCTTATGTCACAGCTAGGTACCTTACTTTTATCAATGCAGGTCTCTACTATGGCTGTACCAATACCATTCTTACCTTTATTGGATCCTACAGTCA